TGCTGAGGCTCTGGCTCCTCTCCCAAACACTGAACCAAGGAGGGAGGACAGGTGTAATATCAGAAGCAACAGTGGGAAAAGGCAGCAGCAGCACATGCAGCAGCAACAACAACAACAGCTGACCCAAATAAAGGAAGACCGGAGAAGTCCAGCTGTGTCCAACCCTTCCCCGTCTCCCCCTCCAGCCTCGGAGCAGCAGAACGGCAAGCCTCCCAGTGCAGAGTCCCCTCAGCCCAAAGGCAAGAACAAGAAGAACAAGAAGAAGAAGGGGGACAAGAACCCCTCAATAGGTTGGTATTATTGTGATTTACAAAGATTCAGGTGTTTGTCTAATCTCACTCATGCACCTCAAGCTTTACTACTGAAACAGCAGACGGCATGCGAGGTGAGGGAAATACAAACTGTGTCCCAAACAGAATGTTCTGACCAAGCACAGGTAGATTTCCTCACGGGTCTCTTGGGTATTCTGTGGTATATACGGCATCACAGTGTGATTAGTGAATGTGTGCTCTGTGCAGATTTCTGCTGCCATTTAGGTCATGCCATTAGCAGGAAGTACGGGGAGTTTCTTAAAGTAGTTCTGACAATGTGCCTGCATAAAGGTATTTTCCTTTCACAAGTTGTCAGGGGCGAAACTGGGCCCCAAAAGAGATGTTGACCTAAAAACAAGAAATCCGTATGGCAGGGAAGAAACAACATTATCAACAATCGTAGAATCTACTTATTAAATATGTAGAATTTCTAACTTTGACAACAACCAGCCATTGCTTCCGAAAACGACATGTTTCTTAGGTTTTCTCAGATACGTAATCTATAATACACTTACTAATAAATATATTTAAAATGGGAGCAAATAACATACATCCATGTTCTTTTTTCAGATGATGTATTCTTGCCCAAAGACATCGACTTGGATAGCACTGAACTGGATGAAACAGAGAGAGAGGTGGAATATTTCAAAAGGTATGTATATTCAAATGTAATAACTAAACCAACTTTACAAATACTGGTGAGATATTTTGAAGCTTTTCTATTTTTGGCTACTTTTAAGGTCCCTTGTGGATTTTGTGGCACTATTGAGACAGTTAAATAGCAGTATGGTAGACATGCATCAATATGCTAGCAAGCAAACATAGACACACAATGTAGGTTTTTAAATCATCCAAATGGTCTACTTTGAAAGGAAATCATGATAATAAGGCCTCGGAAAGTCCACAGATATTTAAAAACATTTACATTTGAAGTAGTATTGCTCCTCAGAAGGTTAATGCTTGGTTTTTGTCCCTGCAGGTTTTGCTTGGATTCTGCCCAGCAGACCCGCCAACGGCTCTCCATCAACTGGTCAAACTTTAGTTTGAAGAAAGCTACATTTGCTGCACACTGAGGCTGTTAGTGGGTGACTATCAGGACACAATCAGTACCTTAACAGCTGTACCAACCCACACGTTCCCCCCCGCTCATCCCTTTACCTCCACTCAGCTGTTATCCTCCCTGAACTTCTCTCCCGCTGTGCCCGAATCACACCCACGCTGCCTTGCTTTGTTCCTGTCGCTGTGTGGTTCCTACACAGACCCATCCGGACTGATCCACCTGCAGAACTGATACAAAAATTAAAGTAAATGACACAAAAAGAATCACAAAATGCTACTTTGCATCTGATTAATTTTCCTTGCGTGCTTGTGTGCTTTAAGTCTGAGTTGGGCATTTCTCTTGACTGAAAAAGCCATGGTCTGAAATAATTTTGTTCTTATATTGGCTTACCTGTAGTCAAAAAATGCTTACTATGTTTGGATGGTTTCCTTCCAAAAAAAAGAGACAATGGAAACTACAAAAAAAGAGAAATGTATTAAATTAAAAGCTGTATTTGAGATATATTGTGGCTTACTATCCCATCGTTTCCCGCTCCTAGCACGGCATCTCATCCACATGATTCACAAGGGAATGGGCTTGGTCAGCTGGTCTCCACTCCCTTACCCCCTCCACCACCTCCACCCTATTTCACATTAGGGAGGAAAACGTAATACTTGACAATGTTCTTTTTTGGTTTTTAAGTTCTGTTTAACAAACTGTTGAGTAAAATTGTAAGTTACAGTTTTTGTTTTCTTTATTTTTGATCTGTAGCCAGCTTGTATCAGAATACTTTCAGAATGAAAATGAAAAAGAACAATACTCACACTATCAATCTGTTATGGAGTGTATATTGTATTAACACTGAAGCCAAACTGGCTACTTTTAACATATTGTTAAGTAATATTAAATCTTGTCTTTCTTTTTTGAAAGATGGAATACAGTAGTATGGCAGGATTATGCGTCTTGTGTCCAATCTTATTTCCTACATGCAGTAGAAAATTCCACATAAGGGCATTAACACTCACAAACATTTTAAGAAATAGTTGACATGTTGGGAAATAAATGAATTTCCTTTCTGGCGTAGGGTTAGACAAAAAGATACCACTCATGTTTCCTTTATAGGCATCAGCCAGTTAGACCAGCTTAACTTGGCCAAAGAATGGAAACAGGGAAACATCTCATTTAATCTGTAGAAACACAGACATGTTTAAATGACAATGTGCTTTTCCATGGAGAGAACCATTTAGCGTCGTCAAAACTCTTAAACATATTTTTTTTTAAATACTGATTTTAACCATTATGTTTTTATGGTAAATTAATATGCTTAAAGTTGAATGTAATTCTTGAAAAAATCTAAATGTTCAACATAATTTAGTGTTAATTCTGCAGAGTCTTTTAATATATAAAGAACGAGAACGCTGGAAAACGCTGTAGTACATATGCCGGGGCTGTAAGTGGCGCTGTACTTTCACACGAGACCGCTCGAAAGCGCTGGACACGCTGTAGTACATATGCCGGGCCTGTAACTGGCGCTGTAATTTCCGCCACAAAATACACCAAAAGAAGACCCCGGAGCATGGTTGCCCTTCTGTTTATGCTATGGTTTATGCCCATGGATGTATGTATATGTATATGTATATATACATATATGTATATATATGTGTATATATATATGTGTGTATATATATATATATGTAGATTTTGCACTAACATCTGTAGCATGCATGGTCGAGCTGTAGATGTTGTACTAACATCTGTAGCATGGTCAGTAGCAGTAGCTGACCATGCTACAGCAGTGAGCAGCAGAGGTTGGGAGAGGCGGGGCTCTGGCTTCATCTATCGGGAAATTATCGTATAGGCGATTACACAGAGCAGTTTGACCCCCCAGAGCGTTTCGTTTGCAAATCTATCCACCTTGGGACCCGTTATCGTTTGTGGGGTCCGTTTCTATCGTTTTGTTACGGCCTCGTGTAAATGAAAGGGCTATACGCAAGAGAAACTGCGGATCCAGCCCGTTTTGTTCTTGTGTAAACGGGGTCTTAGAGGTGTTGGTATGCCGTTTTCGTTTGGTAATGCTAGCTAGGCTAACAGTTTCTTCCTGTTTTCAGTCTTCGTGCTAACTAACTGGCTGAAACTTCATATGCGACAGATAAACACGAGAATTCTTGAAGTTCTCGTAACTATCAGAAAGCAAAAGCATTTCTTCCCCGATGTTGAATTTAAACTTGATTTGAATTCAAGTTGATTGATACGAGAAAATCCCCTCCAAGATGNGGGCCTCGTGTAAATGAAAGGGCTATACGCAAGAGAAACTATGCAGATCCAACCCGTTTTGTTCTCGTGTAAACGGGGTCTTAGTTGTCAGTGTTTTTAATTATTTAAGCTTTGAGGAGGTGGCTTTTTTCATCCAGCGTAGTTTAACAAATTCAGAAAATAGTGGGGTCCTTCAGGAGAATGTTTTAGGTCTCTGGAGGAGAGAGTACAGAAGGAAGATGAGAGAAAAGCTAAAGTGAGGAAAAATTGGCGGAGAGAAAGTCGATGAAAGACTGTGTGTGTGTGTGTGTGTGTGTG